AAAATGTGATTGGGACTTTGCTAAGAGTTTAGTCGAACTGGACCAAGTTCGCCACTGAACTCTATTTCCCTATCATGTATCATGACTACAAGATTATTTGGGGATGTTTGGAACTGATTCTGCTTCTGCTTCTTCTTTTTAAGCAGAATCAGAATCAGTTTTCAGAAGCCGATCACCCCCAGTCTCTAAAAAAATGATTCTAGGAGTAAATTAGAGCACCAGAATCACTTCTTCACTTTCACCCAAACACTCCAGTTTCTGCTTCTGCTCTTTAAAGGAGCAGAACCAATTTTAAGAATCAGATGCAAACACCCCTTCTAATCTGTCCAATCTAGCAAAGAGCAATTGAGTCTTAGTGGGCCGTGTGGTTTAACACATCCAATTGAACGAATTCAACTAAGAGGTGGACTCAGGCCGTTCAGGGTATAGGTAGGGCCGTAGGGGTGGACCCGGGCCGATTCGGTTCCAAAGTTGGGGAGTGGTCGACAAGTGCCATTACCTCACCAGAAGAATTTTTTCCCAAAATAATACTAATTTAATGAATAATTCTGAAAATACTGTTGAGTTAAAAATAATTCCCATAATAATGTTAAAATTAACCTAGGATAACAAAGCCTTCGTTTGAGTTGATATATCGCCGAGCTTTCATATATCGGCCAACACAATCAAGCAAGGGACCGATTCTCAGTAATTCAATTCAATGTAGGGGGTGGACTCTGGCCGGGCTGCCCGACTCGGAACCGGCCCGGCTTGGTCACTGTTTGAACCGGACCGAACTGGTGGCCCGGCCCAGGGGCGGATCGAGTCGACCCGGCCTGGTGGGGTTCGGTTCCCGGCTCGGGCCCTCCATTTGGTGAACCGGCCCAGCCGGTCCGGGCCGAATTTAATTTTTTTTTTTTTGAATTTTTTTTAAGTTTTTGGGTTGGGCTGGGTATTTTGGGCCATTTGAGGTGGTTTGGGGTGGTTTGGGGGTGGTTTGGGGGTTAAATAGGAGAAGCCAAAAAAAAATACAAACTGGGTGGCCCGGCCCGGCCAGGCCCGTAACCGGACCCGGTGGCCACCGGTTCGGGCTGGGGCCCAACAGAACAGAACCGAGGCCCGGTCGGGCCCAGGCCCGAACCGGCCTGAGTCCACCCATAATTCAATGTAGTGGGACCTAAATTTTTAAAAACAAAATCTTTTTATCTTTAAATTGATATAACTTTTTTATTTGTAACATGATATTCACAAAAAATATATCAAAATTCACAATTTTTAATTATCTTTCATATGATACCAATATTTCATATATAAAAAAAAACTAAAAATACGGTTGGTGGAGGTTGTCATGTTCAATTTTTCTAAGTCGAACCAAGTTCTAAAATTAAGAGCCTATTTTGTAACACTAAAATTGATAAAATTCTGGGTCAAGTGGCTGAATTGACTGATTTTTCTTAGTTATAGAATAATTATTTTAAAATACATGTTATTAATAAAATAAAGAAAAATTATACTTCGTATAAAATAGCTAAAATGCTCATTAATAGAATCTTTGCCTAGAAAAGTAACTTCAAGCCTGTGCAAAAACTGTCCCCGACTCTTATTAATAGTCATCACGTAACTAAGTAACAAAGGGAGTTGTCTACGCTGAAAGGTGAACGACAACTTTAGATCGGATGGAGTCGAGCTAAGTTTCAGAATAAGAAATTTTTGTCCTACATTAGTTCCATATATCATCGGAGCCTCGAGAGTATGAGCTCTGAGTATAGTGAACATAAAGCAAGTGCCATTACTCAATCCAATGCACGTGGTGTGGCACACCAGGGCATATAATGGTATTGAAAAACTCTGGAAACTTGAACTCTTGTAGGAGTGCACTATCTGAATCAAAAGGAGACGCCGAATCTGAGCTTAAGTATGTCTTTACCTCACCTAAAGTTAGTCCTAACATGTAATCGTTAATCTTGTCGCATTTATCAATGATTGGGGCTACAATTGCCTTGGAATTCAAATAAGAAATGTCATTAAAGTGCATTTCAAAATTGGGATATGTGCTCTTAACAATAGCTTCAATTGGATCATCCGTTATAATAGCTAAAATGTTCATTTATAGAATATTCAACAATAAAAGTAGCTCCAATCTTATCAATTTTGGTTATTTTAATTATAATATAATCTATAGTAACTTCATCCAATTTCATATTGTGTTTACTGTAGATGAATTGTATATTAATCAAAATAAGTAAGACTAACGTTACTAAATATTGTATAATAAATAAAATAATCAAAATAAGTAAGATTGTAGTAACTTTCTGTGTCGAAAATTCTCTAAATAATCATTTAATTATTATCAAATACTCTGTAATTTTTTATTTAATTTAATAATAAAGTACTACCTCCGTCCCGTTGGAATGTTCCCGTTCGGTTTACGATGCTTGACTGACGATAAAGCAACTCGATCCCTGTTCACACTCCGCTTATCTTTAGTAAATAAAATTTACATATTCAGAAACTACATTAAAGCCGCTACAAAGCCTGATCAAGAAAAGTTCAATTTGATAAAAATTTGATATATAAAGTAAAAGATTAGGAGTGACCTAAGTTGACCAATTAATAGTGAACGAGAACATTTCAACGGGACAGAGGGAGTATATTTTAAAAATAATTATTTTATAACTAAGCAAATTCGGTCACTTGACTCGGAATTTTATCAATTTCAGCCAATTCATTCAATTTCACTTTTACCTAACAGGCTCTTAATTTTAGAACTTGGGTCGACTTAACAAAATTGAACATGATAACCTCCATCAATCGCATTTTCAGATTTTTTTGTATATGCAATATTGGTATCATATGAAAGATAATAAAAAATTGTGAATTTTGATTTTTTTTTTTTGTAAATATCAGGTTACAAATAATAAAGTTTTAACCTACAATGATTTGAATTGTTTCATTCGTTTCCTTTCTCCAAAAAAATGTGGAATCTCCCACCTTAGGAGCCCCCACCCCAACCCGACAGGATGGTGGGAAAGTTAGTCACTGTGACTTAGGATGTTTTTACTTGGACTGTAATTTGCTGGTCTGGTCTGGTCTGGTCTGGTTTCTTTGTATTTTTATAACTATCCAAGTCTGGTCTAGTCTGGTCTGGTCTGGTCTGGTCTGGTCTGGTCTGGGACAAATTACAGTCCAAGTAAAAACATCCTTAGTCGGCCCGATGGCGGTAGGCCGATTTACCCGTGCGCATCAGAGGCCCAGCCTTATTTGAGGTTTTGTGACCTCCACACGGTCGCTGCGGGTTTTGAACCTTAGTCATTCTCTCAATTTTCCCACCACCGAACCAACTGAGCTACCCGTGCAGGTTGTTGCATTTGTTTCCTTGCTTCATTCGTTCGCTAATCAAACATGGGCTTTGTTAACCATGGTTAATTCCAACATTATTTTGGGAATAACTTTTAATCTGACATTAATCTGGGAATTATTGATTAAATGAGCATTATTTTGGGAAAAATCAAACTGATTGAATTGGGACTATTATATATAAATCCCATATTCCCATGTCTTGATTGACGATTTACCTGAGCGGTCGAAGTCTCGAATAAGTTTTAGAAACCAAAATGCATTCGAATTCCATGTCTCCACTTGATGGAGAATTGTAAATAGTCGATTGAGTTTTCTTTCCTCAGGTTCTGCTTTGTTTTTTGGTTTTTTACTTTTTTCCATTTTTACTCCTCATTTTCTTATTTTTTTGTATCACAGTTAATTATCTAGAATTCGTTTACTAAAAATACCAACACCGATGTCTAGTGACTAGTTTGGCACGAGACATTGCGGTTAGTATTTTTTAGTATTCTTCCTATACTATTATCTTTCTTCTTTGTTGTAATTTAAAGTACAACAAAGTACTTTTTAGTGCACTATTATTATTACTCCCTCCATCCTAAATTGATTTGCAAATTTGACTTTTTTGGGTCAAACAATTTCATTTTAATCACTTAATTGAGATGTTAATTCTTAATTAAATTTTAATTTGAATTTTGCAACTTTATAGAGATTTTAATGTAGTTTCTGAATATGTAAATTTTAATTATTAAATCGAATTATTTATCAATATGGAGGATTTAACTTTAACATTGGTTGATAAAAAAATGTTGACTTTGCAAAACAATTTTGGACGAAAGTAGTATTATTTTTAGTTATTCGATATGGCTATTTTTAATTTTGTTTTGTATTATAAAATTATTAACTGTTGGTTTCAATTCTAGGTAACATATAATTTAATTTGTAACACTCATCCGTCCAATAATCATACTTTAGTGCTTGCCGGAAGAAGAGTAGGCGAGCCTAGTGTTGTCCGGACATCGTCTAGGTGTGATTTTGGCGAGTCTCGTTAGAAGTTATTGGACTTAATCACAACCTGATAGATAGCCTAGTGTGGTTTAGGCGCCGTCTATCATCCCAATGTATACAAATTTATTACGAAGTATAGGTTATTTATCGTATTTATCGGTTGGCTAGATTGTTGATTTTTCATTGTTTTTAAACTAATTTTTATACATAATATTTAATATTTATAGCGGGCAATGAATGCAAAACAATTTATGATCCATTTACAGGTCCTGTTAGAAGGGCAAAAATAAGACTCTTTCTAATTTTTCCAAAAATATGACTCGTCCGTTTACTTAAAACCTGCGCCTAACTTATCTTCTACCCAACAATACGAGTCTGTTTGCAACAACTTCTGCTTTTAAAAAATGCTTTTTTTAATAAAATAAGAAGTGATTAAATAAAAGTTGATAGTGTTTGAGAAAAAAGTGATTTTGAAAAGTAAAAGTGGATAGTGTTTGATAAAATAAGTGTTTTTTGTGTAATAGAAAAAGTAAAAGCACTTTTGACTCGGAAAACGAAAAAAATAAAAGTTGTAGTGTTTGGGAAAATAAGTGTTTTTTTAAAACCATGAGAAGTTCTTTTTTAAAGCCAAACTAAGGGTCTGTTTGTAACAGCTTCTGCTTTTAAAAAAAGTGCTTTTTTTAATGAAATGGGGAGAAGTGATTAAATAAAAGTTGATGGTGTTTGAGAAAAAAGTGATTTTGAAAAGTAAAAGTGGATAGTGTTTGGTAAAATAAGTGCTTTTTGTGTAATAGAAAAAATAAAAGCACTTTTGACGCGGAAGCCGAGAAAAATAAAAGTTGTAGTGTTTGAGAAAATAAGTGCTTTTTTAAATCCAAAAGCTGAGAAGTGCTTTTTTAAAAGCAGTTTCAAACCAACCCTAAACCGTAGCAAACTTGACTTTTCTTCTTCCCCAACCCAATTGTATGTTGCAATGGATTGCAGGAGAAGATCCAGACCAGGCCTCTTCTCGCCGTCGTCGCTCTTGTGCCGCGTCTCCCCACCACAACTCTTCTTCTTCATTCTCATGTCTTCTTTGCCGTTGCAATTAACCGCCATTGTTCACCTTCTCCGACCGCCTGCAAGTGAATCAGCTAGCTTCTCCACCGTCTACATATGAAATCGAGAGCTTCTACGTCTTCTTCTCCTTATTCAGATCTAGATCCAAATTTTTAGATGGGGCGTGAATTTTCAGATCTAGATCTGAATGTTGACGGCGGCTAGGCTTAGGTTGGGATGGTGGCAGGGCTTATGGGGTGATGGCGGGGCTAGAAATGTTGTGGTAGGGCTGGTGGGGGAGCTGGCGGTCAGGCCGGGGGTTGGGGAGGTGGCAGGGGATCGGAGGGGGTTGGGGGAGGTGGCTGGGGAGCAAGGGAGGGGGATGGGGAGGTGACTGGGTTTGGGGCGGTGGTCGCGACGGCGGTCCGCGGTGATTGTGAGCGGCAGCGTTAGGCAGGGTAGGCTGGGAACGGGGCTCAGTGGATGCCAGGAGGGGAGGAGGGGGCTGGGGACACCAGAGACGGCATTCATTGTGGCCGGAGAGCGGCGTGTCACTGTGGCTGGAGAACGGCGTGTCACTGTGGCGGCAGTGGTCAGTGGGGCATTCACCGGGGCCGGTGGGGCAGTCACTAGTGCGGTGGCGGAGTCACTTTGACCGGAGTCACCTTGCCCTGCAAGGTTTAATTGTGATGTTGGTCACATTTTTGAAATTTTAAAGTGATTACTTTTTGTCTTTCATCTTATTTTTTTAGTAATATCCAGTAATCCAGGCCTAAAGGCCAAATCTAATTACTCGGGATGGAGACATAGATTTTAGCCTGACATGAACAACAAAAACATAATCAAATGTCAATACTATCATATGCGAATGTGTTCGTTTTAGCACAAACGGATTGAAGCAACATTTAGACGATGAATATGAATATGTAGTTGTATCTCCTTATACGACAACAGAGCTTATGAGGGTGATGCGAAAATATTTAAGGAAGAAACCAAGGGGTACATCGGTTCATGTTGAGGATGATGACAATGACAATGATGCTGAAGAAGTATCTTTGACCCAAATATATTCGTCTAAGACTTCCACTTCTAAACAGATTTCTAAAACTCCTGAGGAGGTTGTTGATGGAAAACATGCGAAAGACCACACACAAAGTACATTAGAAAATTATACAAAAAACAAGAAAGAAAAAGAGAGGATCTTTATGCACATTGCTGAACATTTTTATGAAATCAATATTCGTTTCAACACAACAAACTCTTGGAATTATGAGATCATGGTGGAGTCGAATGGGTGGTTTGCCCGAGGATTTAAATCTTCTAGTTATCTTGATTGTGTATACCACTTCTTGAAAAACAAAGAAAGAGACAAAGAAGCTAAGAGAGAAACATGAGGTTGCTTGATAGGAATATGGGTGCACACTTATGTGTGATGGATGAACTGACCAAAGGAGTAGACATTTAATTAATTTCCTTGTCAATAGTCTAAAAGGTACTTTTTATAGACTCAATTGATGTATCAAGTGAATCTCAAGATGCAACTTTACTAGCATGTTTGCTTGAGAGAAATTTGAAGTTGGAAAAGATAAAGTAGTGCAAGTGATGACACACAATGGCTCTACCTGTAAGTCTGCGGGAAGTCTTCTAGAGCACAAGATGTCCACACTTTATTGGACTCCATGCACCGTGCATTGCTTAGACTTGATGTTGGAGGATATCGAGAAAATATCCGATTTCAAGTCCCACATCGAAAAGGCGAGAAATGTGACTACTTTCATTTGTCGCATATGAGGATCCTCCTTTTAATAAGACTAAAGACAGATGGGAAGGATCCTGTAAGACCTAGAGCTACTAGATTTACAACAATGTTTCTCACTTTTGCAATCTCTATTTGAACAGAAAGAAGCACTGCGAAATCAATTTAGCTCTTTGGTCTGAAGCATATCTGATCCAAATTGGTTGTCACAAAAGCGGGAAAGAAGATAAGCGATATTGTATTGTCTACTCGATTATGGAGTGCAGTGGAATATTCTATAGGAACTTCACAACCACTTCTATGTCGGAGCTTTCAATGGACATGGATTATGTCAAGGAAAAAAATAAGTGAGTCATTCAAAAACAGGTCTAGAGTTTTGAGAAGTTTGATTGAGACCATTAAGACACGATGGGAAGTCCAAATGGAGGTCAAATTATTTCGATCTGATTTGTTTTTAAAACCTTTTAAATATTTTGATCCCAAATAGACTGATTTTGCATCTGGATTGGGCAATGAATGATGTTTAACGACGTGCTTGAAAAGATGGTTGACACTGATTGAAACAATGCATGCCAAAATAAGTAATCAAACAACAGATTGTGAGGAAGTTTTGCAAAGCAGCTCGCGGTCAAGCAATAAAAATAAGACTCCTCATAGATGATAAAATTTATGATATCTAAATAATATTTTAAATGGAGCTTTTAGTGGACTCACTTTGATATCTAGTATTTAATTTGTGACTAATTTATAGTTGATTGGTGAGATGCTTTTGGTGGACTCACTGTTAGTTGCAATCACTCGCAAAACGCATAGTTGGTATTTATTGTTCCTTTTCTCGTAATTTCCATTAATAAACCTTGTTTTCAACTCTTGATTTGTGAAGAGGAGAGAAAATCAACAAAAATCACAAGTTTTATTTAAAAGATAAAGTGACAAAATTAATGGGACGATAAAAAGGGGAAAATTAGCAAAGTTAAAAGGGACAGAAGGTGTAATGTACTTCCTTCTTCCCGGCTTAAGCTTCTCACTAGCCTCTTTTGGACGTTCCAATTAAATGTGTTCATTTCTATTTTAAGAAGTAATTAAGACTCTTAAATGACAACTTAGTCATCAAGTATTAAAAATAGTACACCGATAACATCATATTTATCATCAATGACCTCATTATACTATATAGTGATCAACAACTATACATCAAAATATACTCAAACAACCTTATTTAATTGGTGAGAATGAGAAAATAAGCCCTTGAACTATTGGTGATTTTGCATTTAGACCTTGAACCGGAAGACCTACAAATACACCTCTTGATCCATTGTAATAGAGAAATTAAGCCCCTTTTACTGGCTGGTGTCGGTAACTTCTAACGAAAAAGTCAATGCCTTACCGGTACCAACAGGTAAAGAAAGTTTTTTTTTATTAATTCAATAGGTTGAAGTGTTGAACAATTGAATGCAAGGGTATGATCTTTTGTTTTCAAGACTCATGTGTTTCAAGGGGTCTGATTGCAGAATTACTAATAATATAAGAGCTTATTTGCCCCTTCTCTCATTTCATTATTGACTAAATAACTGTGTCATTTCTCAATGAGAAATTTAAGCCAGGATGGTGATAATATTAGAAATTAAATATTTTCAAGCAATATTTATATATTTAAATATTGCATACAATGCAAGTATGACTAATTGCCAAGATGGTAAGACAATCAGTTGGCACCTTGCTTCGCCTTAGGGCCGTGACATGTTAATTCATATTACTTGACCTCAAACACTTTTGGAAATAAAGTTTGGATTGTTATAGGCAGTTGGCACCAGCATTTAGTGATGGCCTCGGTGCGGGCCACCCGACCCGGGAACCGGCCCAGGAACCGGGGCGGTTCCGGGATTGACTAAATGTGAACCGGCCCAGCCCGGTCGGGCTCGGTTCGGACCTTTTTAATTTTTTTTTCTTTTTTTGGTTTGGGCCGAGTTTAAATGGGCTGGGGAGATGGGTGGTGGATTGGGGGGCAGGGGTAGGCCGGTAGGGGATGAAATAATCAAGAAAACAAAAACAAAAAAAAAAACAAAAAAAAAATAGAACCAGACCCGGCCCGGCCCGGAACTGGTAGACAACCAGGCCATCCCAGGCCTAACCCATTGCCATCCAGACCCAGCCGGGCCTAGGCCCAACCCGGACCCGGGTCCAACACTACCTGCATTAGGTTACTTTGTAATCTTTAGTCAGATAGAGAACTCAGTGGTAGCAAGGTTCCACTGCCACAGTCCGTGTTTAAATTTTGAATGCTAAATTTATTTACCTCATGGTTCTTAACTCGCAAGCGCTGTGTCACGGTTTACCCAATCCAAATGCAACACAACTGCGGTTTCTGCATAACTAAAACAGTCTGGCATTTGATATGCTCCTTTTAGCTGAACTATAATTAGTATGAAAAAATTGGTGAACTAAATGTATCCAGATCTGAACTGTACAAGTTCTAGAGATAGAGCTAATTTTTCATACAACATTTGGGTCGACTACCAATAGTACACTATTTTACATCCTGAAATACTTTATTCAAATCAAACATATTATACAATAGCCATTGCTACTTGTTTTCACAAACTCCCTCCGTGGTACAAAGACTGAGACTTTCTGAATGGGAAAGTACAAAACTTGCATGGGGAGAAAGAAGATGTGCCCTTCGACCTTTTACGTTACAACGCGGGTCATCAGATTCTTGCCTTGACTTCTATATACATTCTGAAATTGGCTGAAGGCATTTTCTGCAGATGCGTGTTGAATATTTGAAGCCCAAGCAAAGTTTAAGTAATCAACAAAAGCATAATATGCAGATACCAAACAGGCGTAAGCTATAAATTACTCACTGTTGGGGAAGCAGATCTACTGTTTTAACTTCTCTGATGTGTCTTGAAGAGCATGCCACTCAGCTAAAAAAAACACTACAAGCAGCAAGCCACAAGGCACTTTACAGATTTTAATTTGATTTGAGATGGAAAAAACGTGAAACTTCGCGGTATAGTTGCTCTGGATCAAATGGTTTTGAGACATATCCATCCATTCCAGACCTCAGACATTGCTCATATGTGGCATGGATTACATCAGCAGTCATTGCCAAGATGGGCAAATGCCCGTTTGGTCCATTTCTGTAAGCTTCATCCTGTTTGAGATTTTTGTTATTACTAATTTGATTTTCAAGTTCACGGATTCTTTTGGTTGCTTCAAACCTGCATGATAAAAGAATGTAAACTCACATTTCAGTTCTGGTATCAGAACACATAACAGACCAGACCACTGCAATAGCCCATCTTGCTGAATGCTAGGTGTACTGAAAATTTTCATGCACTTCATCTTACAGAAGGTATCACGTTATTGAGCATAACAGTCTTAAATCCATATAGTGGTTAATTTAGTCAGACCAGCTGCTTATTGGAGCTGAATTGGCTATGTAAACCATATTAAAACTTAGAGTTGCGTCTTAAAAGGTCAACTTGACACAACAAAGATGAATAATGTGAGGCTTTATAAATAAGTTTGCATCTTTATATTTGGCCGGTGTAGTACGACTTAATTTGGTGGGTGAAATAGTCATCACTAGTGACTACATAGAAGATGTAGAAAATAAAAAATGGCATCATGCTATGAATAAAAGATTAAAGGGATCAAGTGAAACATACCCGTCCATCCTTGGCATTTGAATATCCATAAAACATGCATCAAACTCATGAGGTGGACGTAGAAGTGAAATTGCATTTTCCCCACAGTCTGTGCAAACCACATCAGCACCATACTTCCGCAAGGCAGCATTAGCTACTTTAAGGTTCACAAGGTTGTCATCAACAACAAGTATCTTCCTTCCGTGAAGGAGCTCAGAAAGAGGAGGAGCACCAGAAACCATTCCACTCCTGTGGTTTCCTTGGTTGTTAACCCCCATGGCACGCTGGAGAGACGCGGCAAGCATACTAGCTCGTAACGGCTTCATAATAACAAATGGAGTAGAAACACCCACTGTTGAGGTGTTTCCTCCTGTACAACTTATAGAATTAGCTAACAAAAATAGTTTAGGAGATGAATTGATATTGTAGCTTCTTAGTTTGTTGACAAATCGAGTAACCTGCCCCGAATCCCTATCCCATACTTCCTGTTCAACTAGGACCATATTTATACTTGTTTCCTCGGTGCTTATAAATAAGAGCTCTTCATTCAAATCTTGAACCACCTTAACATAAATACCAAGGCGTTGAATGTGATACTTTGAGACCTCTGCTCGTACAGTCCGGGGATCTACAACTAAGGCTCTCATGCCTTTGAACTCGGAAAAAGCAGAACTGGGCTCGTTTGAATCAGCACAACCATCAGAAAAAACAGCAGTAAAAGTAAAAGTAGACCCAATTCTTGGCAAG